ATATATATATATATATATATATATATATATATATTATAAAGAGTGTGGTTTGTATAGAGCCTAGGCTCTAAATAATCAAATTTGAGTCTAACTTCAAATAGTGTCGAAAAATGTGGTTTCAATACTTGAAATCTTTATGATTGCCTTAAAACATATTTTCAGCTTTATTTATAAACTTCACAAAGAGTATGCTAGATATATGAAAACTTGAAAATCTTAAAAAATTGATGGTCCAAAAATGCGTCTCAAAATACACTATTTCAAAACTTGAAATCCATTTTTTGTTATGTCCATGCATCTTGATGTTGAGATGATCAATTTGAGGATATTTAGGCATCAAAACAACCACTTCTAGTGAAATTTTTGAGTTAGGCTCATATTTGATTGTTTAGAGCTCGACTCTATATAAACTCTTTCCTACTATAAAATGGGTGTGGTTTGTATAGAGCCGAAGCTCTAAACAATCAAATTAGAGCCCACCTTCAAATAGTGTCAAGAAATATGGTTTCTATACTGAAATTTTTTGTAACAACTTTAAAATATACTTTCATCTTTAATTATAAAATTTAAAAAGTAGTGTAGATCGAGCATATCTATGAAAACTTGAAAATCTTAAAAATTGACGGTAAAAAAATGTGTTTCAAGATGCACTATTTCTAAAACTTGAAATACATTTTCTTCCCATGTCCATGCATCTTGGTGTCAAGATGATCAACTTAATGATATTTGGGCATTGGAACAACTTCTTCTTGTGAAATTTTTTATGTAGGCTCTAATTTGATTGTTTAAAGCCTAGGTTAGGTTCTATATAAAGTTTTCCCTCATAAAAGATATGTAGGAAAAATTAGTTTTATTTGGGAGTGATTTATATAAGGCGTTGATCTCAAATAATCAAAGCAAGGTGCACTTGTACACCCTAGCAAAAAATATGTTTTGATGATGGAAATCCTCATAGGCGTAAAAATATATTTTTAACCTTAATTATAAATTTTAAAGATCTTTTAAAATTTTAAAAATAATACAGATACTTAAAAATGAAACAATCCAAATAATATGTTACAAGATGCATTATGTTTAAAATTTATCTTTTCATATCCTCAAAGTCAAGGTTCATTAATAAAATTTCAACATAAAAACAATTGTTTGAAATTTGGATGAGATTTTGAAGGCACAATTGTAGTGTAAGATTCTCATTTTAAAAGTTTTTGTCTTTTTATTTTTTTTTGCTTTTTTCTTTTATGTAGAGCATGCCCGACTCGACACGTTAAACCCTACTGTACTCATGTCGAGCAATGGTCTGGGGCAGTGTTTTAAAAACCAGCGAGTCGCAAGAGACTCGTTCGAGTCGACACAGGAATCGGTCATCCCGTATCGATTCCATTAAAAGAGACAAAATCACCCAGTTTTAGAGAAGAACCGCCGAGTCTCTACCGAAAACCGCTGAGTTGACGTCACGAGTCGCTATATAAATCCGAGTCTCTATAGTAAACCGCCGAGTTGACATCATGAGTCGCTCTATAAATTTGAGTCTCTATAGTAAACCGCCGAGTTGACGTCACGAATCGGTCAATAAAATCCAAATCTCTACAATAAACCGTCGAGTTGACGTCACAAGTCGCTATATAAATCGTTGACGTCACAAAACGACTTAGTATCTAGAACCGCTGAGTCAAAATGACTTAGTATCTAGAACCGCTGAGTCTCCATCGTAAAAACACCGAATTGACGTCACAAAGCGACTTAGTATCTAGAACTGCTGAGTCTCTATCGTAAACCGTCGAGTTCACGTCCATAAATCCGAGTCTCTACACTAAACCGAGTTAACTCTATGTAAATCGCTATATAAATCAATCGAGTTATAAATCCGAGTCGCTATATAAATCGTTGAGTTGACGTCACAAAACGACTTTAGTCACAGACTATCCAAGGCATTAATCCCCCTCTACATAAATCGAGGAATTGATGTCACAAAACGACTTATGTAAAGTAAGCCTCGCAAATAGGACTGCACATTCACGGCCATCCACCAAAAACACGCCCACCAATATCCATCAGTAATGGCTGGACAATTAAATTTATATGCCCTCTTCCTCCCACATCACTTCGCTGTGGGACAATTTTCATTGTCTTATGCATTTGAGGCTTTTAGCGCACGTTTAATTTTGTCTTTATTTTAGTTATCAAATGTTTCTCTTTTATACAAGGAATTTTATTACCATACGTTATCTTACGTTTAATTTCATTATCATACATTTCTATTTAAGATTTATTTAAAAAATTATATTTATTTTGTCCTTAATTTTGTTTCTATATAAGATCTTCTTTTGCACTCTCTCTCTCATACGTAGAATGATGTATAAATTAAATTTTTCTCTTATACAAAGACATCTATCAAATCAAATGGTCTAAAATTTTAAAAGATTAATTATATTTATTTATTTTTTATAATTTACAAACATAAAGTTTATGTAATTAATCTGTAATTACATATAATTAATCTTTAATTACAAAAATAAAATTCCATATAATAATTTACAAAAATTAACATAATTATATGAAATTGTCGTTTATTTATGTTAATAAATTAATATAATTATGTTTAATTTATGTCAATATAATTAGTTTTATATACATTAAAATTAATTTTTAATTATATAGAAGTGTTTTTTTTAATATTTTTAAATTATTTTTATGTTATATTAGAATTATAATTAATAGTTATACATATATCACATCTAAATATTCGTATATTGATGTAAAAAAATGAAAGTTCTTAATAGAGTACCCTCATTTCTTATTGGATTTCTAACAAGCAACATTTATAATGAATTTTAATGAATTTTTTTAGATTTTTTTAAGATTGAATCAGACAGATTCGGTCGATTCCTGATCCGGATCGCCGATTCACCAATCCGAATGGGTTTTTTGGGTGCCCGATCCCGGGCACTAATCCGTTTTTTAAACCATAGGTTCGAGGTATGTACTATTATTGTAAGTCGGCAACCAAAAAAAAAGAAACGTTGGTGAAAAAGAGAGCGTGATATACTAAATCATGGGTGCAGTTTGCATACGGACGCATCCGTAGGTGTAGAGGTAAGGTGTACCTTCAAATTTTATCATGGTATATAATTTTGATGCAAAATGTTCTTAGGATTATCTCAAAATCTATTTTTATATCTAATTATAAAATTTTAAATTTAAAAAATGGTTAAAATCAAGTAGATCTATAAACATATGAAAATCTTGAAAATGGACGGTGTAGATAATATGTTGTAAAATGCACTATTTCTAAGACTTAAAATATTTTTATTTTTCATAGTCATACATCTCGATGTTGAGATGATCAATCAAAGGGTTTTCAACATTAAAACTACCTTTTCCTATGGATTTTGTAGTAGCATCCGTAGATCTACATTAAAATGTAGCATCTTTATATTAACTTTTTCACTATATCATATACTGAATTTTATCTTTTACAAAAAATAAAGGGAAAAAGTTTATATGAAGCCGAGGCTCTAAACAATCAAATTAGAGCCTATATCAAAATTTCACTAGAAGATGTTGTTTTGATGATCAAATATCTTTAAATTAATCACCTCGACATCAAGATGCATGGACATGAGAAAAAAAAAAAGATATCAAGTTTTTAAAATAGTACATCTTCTAACACATTTTTGGAAAAGAGAAGAGAAGTACCACGACGAGGTCCCACGTCATCAGGCCATGTCATTAAGCACAATGGGTGGCAACAGGCTTGGGCTGGGTTCTTTAGCCCGGTCCTAGTCCCATAGCACTGGCTCAGCTATAAAGGCCTGGCTGGTCCAGGCCCAGTAAAATAAAAAGAAAAAATAAAGAAAGAGAGAGCCGGTTCAGGACCATACTTCAAAGTTCAGACCATGGTTTCCAGGACCTAATCGAGCCTTCGGGCCACATTTCATGATGGCCTAAGACAGGCCGAGCTGGGGCACCGACCCATGAGCACCCGAGCCACGAAGGACCTTCCCGCTGTTACGGCTTGCACCTCAAAAATCAAAATCTGCTCTCTCTATATATACAAAGGATCTAACGTGACTTTGCAAAAGAATTCAAATTTTTTCAAAAAAAAAAAGGCCCCAACATTCAAACCATACTTATCCGCCTGCTTTGTTTTGTTGAAATGTTAGGTCGGGAACGCAACAGCTTACATGACAAAGAGCCGCCTCTTGCTACATGGAGCAATAGCGCCCACCGCATCGCACTTTGGATGCGTCCTCTTTCCATATGCCGCAAGCGTGGAGATTAGTGGGGCTGGCAATGGCCCGATCAGCTCTCCACGAGCTGTTAGGCTCCGTTTAAACTTTATTTTTTTATTTTTAACAGGGTCGGTACGAGCCGGATAGAGCATCCGGTCCCGGCCAGGACAGGCCAAGAAAGTTGCTTTAAGTGGGAGATAAAACAAACATGAATGTGAATATGAAAGTCATACACATGGGACACTCATGCTTAGTCACGTGAGTTTAACAGTTGGCGACATGCACGTGCCTAAGAGCCCAATTTCCCGTCTTCTTAAATTTGGAAATTCATTCCCCCTCTTTATCCCCAATTTCAATTTTATTAGCGCCCAAAACCAAAATTAGGAAGCCTTATTTCCTATTAAAAGCCAAAAGCACAGAACCAGACTTAAAACGGCACTGGGCTCAAAACTCCGGCATTCAATCCCCCTTGCTCACCTCTAATGGGCGGGTTCCCCCTCCACCAGCTCTCCATACTTGCCTCCTCCATCTTTCTCCTGTGGGTCCTCGTCCTCCTGCTATGCCTCTCTCTACACAGGAATAGCAGTAGAGAAACGCCGCCCTCCATTAAAAGTGGCACACGAGGAAGCAGTAAGATATCCATGAATTCTTCGAAGCTTCGAGTCATCTGCTGCTCTTTCATGTCCATCCTCTATACTGGTTTATGGTCGTGGAAGATAACGAAACGAGATGAGAAGTATTCGATTTGGGTTGAAGCAGAGGATTTGTTGCAGGCTGTGACCTGGTTGTCCATGGCGACCTTCGCAAGTTACGTGCGAAACAGGGGTGAGAATGGTGGAAAGAGGAAGTGGGTGTCTTTCATGCTCTGTTCAGGGTTTTTCTTCTCATCAGTCTTTAATGGTTTTTCGATTTGCTGGCGTGTTACTGTGTACATGAGGAAGAAGTCAAAGTTTCCGGGACTTTCGTTGTATTCTGAGATTATTGGTTTTCTCTTCTCTGCATTGCTCCTCTGCAACTCGGTCTTCGAAGCTCATGAAGAAGAAAACACAGAAGAAGAAGAGTGTAAGAGGCAATTGCTCTCAGAAGATTACCAAGATGAAGAAGGTGAAGAAACTCCATCTGATTTTGACAGGGCCAGCACATGGGCCAGGCTCAGCTTCACCTGGTTAAATCCCCTGTTCGAATCTGGGCGTCGAAAAACTCTCCAAATGAAAGACACTCCAGCCATCCCTCGCGAGGACACTGCTGAGGAGGCCTACGCCTCACTGGAACGATGCCTCAGAAAGCACAAGAGTTGCAATGGCTCTGTGGAGCGCCTGGGTTCACTCTCAAAAGCCTTGGTGTTTTCCACTTGGAGGCCCTTAGCCCTCAACGCCGCTCTCGCAGGCCTCAACACCCTCTCGTCTTACGCCGGCCCATTCCTCATCACCCTCTTCATCCAACACCTCTCAGAATCCCCTTCCGAGTCCTTTCGTGGCTATGCCCTGGCGTTCGCCTTGTTCATTGCAAAGACAGTGGAATCAGTGTCACAAAGGCACTGGTATTTCGGTGCACAGAGGCTGGGGATACAAGTGAAGGCCGCGCTCATCGCCATGATTTATAGAAAAGCTCTGCTTGGGGTTCAGGGGAGCAATGTGAGGAAAGGAGCAACGATGATGAACCAGGTGAGCGTCGATGCAGAGCGGATTGGGGACTTCGCCTGGTACATTCACAATCTATGGTTATTGCCGGTTCAGGTGTTTCTGGCTCTCTGCATCCTCTACTACAACCTGGGACCTGCTGCTTCTCTAACCGCCCTCGCCACCACGCTGGCTATCATGGCTGCCAACACACCGCTCGCAACCTTGCAGGAGAAGTACCAGTCTGGAATCATGGACGCACGGGACCAGAGGATCAAGGACACGAAGGAGTCGCTCAACGCCATGAAGATACTGAAGCTCCACGCATGGGAGACCAAATACCAAGAGAAAATCCTGCAGTTGAGAAACATTGAGAGCGGGTGGCTGAGGAGGTATCTCTATGCCTGTGCAGTAGTGGCCTTCCTGTTCTGGGCGGCCCCCGCGGTCGTCTCTCTCACTACTTTCGGGGTGTGTCTACTGGTTGGAACTCCATTGACGACCGGCTCGGTGCTATCCGCGCTGGCCACATTCAGGGTTCTTCAGGACCCAATCTACAATCTACCAGAGCTGATCTCCATGGCCGCTCAGACAAAGATTTCTCTCAGCAGGATCTCAGTGCTCCTATCGGGAGAAGAAGAGAGGTCCGGGACGACATTGGAGTCATCATGGTGCGAAGGGGAAGAGGAGGTGGTGGTGGACATCAGAGATGGAGATTTCTGGTGGGGGCGGCCGCCGCCACCTCGGAACGGAGGAGGAGGAGGAGGGCCTGCGCTGAAAGGGATAAGTTTGAAGGTGAAGAAGGGGTGGAAAGTGGGGGTATGTGGAGGGGTGGGAGAGGGGAAGAGCAGTTTACTTCGGTGCATTTTGGGTGAAATGTTTGAGAACAAAGAGTCGGTTAGGGTGAGAGAGGGGGTGAGGAGAGGTTATGTGGGTCAGGAGGCGTGGATTCAGAAGGGGAGTGTGGAGGAGAACATATTGTTTGGGGGGGAGATGGAGAGAGAGAGGTACGAGAGGGTGGTGAGAGGGTGCGGGTTGTTGAGTTGGGGAGAGTTGGGGGGAGGAGAGTGGGAGTGGGAGTGGGGGGCAGGAGAGCGAGGGGCCAATTTGAGTGGGGGCCAGAAGCAGAGGGTTCAGATGGCCAGGGCCGTCTACGCTGACGCCGACTTGTACCTTCTCGATGATCCCTTCAGCGCCTTGGATGCGCACACGGCCGCTCATCTCTTCAAGGTGCTTCCACTCTCCCCTTTATTTTCTACCTCATTGCTTTCATTCTATTGCGCCGGGCCCGGCCCGGCCCTAAAATATCAGGGCTTCAGAAGCCCGAACAACAGCCTTCGGGGGAAAGGCATGGTCTTCAACTGGCCCGGACCCCTCCAGGCCCATCATGTTGTTGGCCCGCCCGAGGCCCCTCCTTTTGTTAGCCCTAATTGTATAATTTCTCTTCTAAGAACAATCTTGATTTTCTGCCCTAATATGGTTGCAAATGGCATCATTTTAGTCCATGTTTGTTCAAATTCCCAAAGCATATTTGCTCTTTATAAGCTTCATACTTTCATAGCATTTGTCATTATTTATTTTAGAAAATTGGTCAAAATTATAGAAACAAAATGGAAAATAGGAAAATACATATCACAAGAAAGGAAAGAGATATTGCTCTTTCTTTTTGAGAGGAGAATATAACAAGATAAGAAAGTATATATTTTGTGATTATATTACCATATTATATACAATAAAAGAATCACCACAAGAGTTGTGTAGGGGACAATTATTTTTCTCAAAGAGTTTTTTTCTCTCTCTAAAATTCTTTATCTCTTTGCTATCTTGTAATATTAATATGTATTTTCCTATTTTGGATTTTGTTTCTATTAAAAATAGATCCTAGTTTTCAATTGTTTATCAACTCATCTATTTTTTATCAAATAAAAGATTTCATTAAGAAGCACATGTCATGACTCAAAATGGTTCATATCTTAAGCAGGGTTGATAAACAGGTGAAATTTTAAATGGTTGATATTTTTAAGGGTGTTTTAATGAACTTTTAAGCATGTTGTTATTAGATTAGAGCTTAGGGCTCGTATGGATCTAGGGTAAACAAAACCATGTTTGGATGGTTATGCAAACCCTAGTTATGCCAAAACCTGGTTATTGACAAATTATTGTTTGGATATCTTGCAAATAATACTTAGGTTATGCAAATCCCTCGTTTTGGGTCATTTACTTGCGTAATTTGTGTTTACACTATTTAGGACACATTTGGTAGGTATGAAACATTTTCATGTAAAACATTTTCATGTGAAAATTACGTTACACATATTTGATATGCAACACTACATATAAAAAAATTTATCATTATAAAAAATTTTATCAAAATTTTAAATAGAGAAACTACCTAAAAATGTTTAGAGTGAGAAACTATTTCAACATTTTTAGAGTGAAAACTGTCTAAAACTTTAAATTTGATATAGTTTCTCTCTAAATATTTTGATATAGTTTCTCTCTCTAAAATTTTGAAATTTCATATAGTTGAAAATTTCTCTCTAAAATTTTTGAGATAGTTTCTATCTCAAAATTTTATCAGGTAGTTCCTCTTTCTAAAATTTGATATAATTTCTCTCATTAAACTTTTAAGATACTTTCCCTCTCTAAACCTTAAAATTTGATAAAGTTTTTCTAAAAATTTTGAGATAGTTTCTCTCTCTAAAATTTTTTAAGTAATTTGTTTCTTTAGAATTTGATATAGTTTGAGTATCTAAAGTTTTCAGATACTTTCTCTCTTAAATTTGAAATTTGATATAATTTCTCTCTAAAAGTTTTGAGATAGTTCTCTCTTTGAAAAGTTTCACGTTGCTTATCTCTAAATTTTGATGTAGTTTCTCTCTCTAAAGCTTAAAATTTGAGTTAGTTTCTCCATCTAAAAATTTTAAGATAGTTCTCCATCTAAAAATTTTAAGATAGTTATTCTCTAAAAAAAGTTTAGGTAGTTCTCTCTCTAAAATTTGATATACTTTTTCTTTCTAAAATTTTAAGATACTCTATCTCTCTAAAACTTAAAATTTGAGATAATTTCCCTTCGAAAATTTTGAGATAGTCTCTCTCTAAAAATTTTGGTATTTCTCTCAAAAGTTTTAAGATACTTTCTCTCCCTAGAACTTGAAATTTAAGATAATTTTTCTCTCTAAAAATTTTGAGATAGTTTCTCTCCCTAAAAGTTTTTAAATAGTCTATCTCTAAAATTTGATATAGTTTATATCTCCAAAATTTAAAATACTCTCTCTTTTTAAAACTTGAAATTAAATATAGTTTCTCTTACTAAAAATTTTCATATATTTCTCTCTCTAAAATTTTACGTAGTTTCTCTCTCTAAAATTTGATATAGTTTTACTCTTTAAAATGTTACAATATTTTTTCTTTAAAACTTGAAATTTGAAATAGTTTCGCTTCAAATTTTTTTGGCAATTTCTCTCTCTAAAATTTGATATAGTTTCTCTCTCTAAAATTTTAAGATTTGTTTTCTCTCTAAAACTTGAAATTTGAGGTAGTTTCTCTATCTAAAATTTTAAGGTCGTTTCTCTCTCTTAAATTTGAGATACTTTTTTTATTTAAAAATTAATATTTGAGATACTTTCTCTCTCTAAAATTTTGAGATAGTTTCGCTGTCTAAAAATTTGTAAGTAGTTTATCTCTCTAGAACTTGATTAGTTGCGCTCTCTAAAGTTTTAAGATACTTTAACTCTCTATAAAAATTCAAATTTGATATAGTTCTGATTTCTAAAATTCTTGAAATAGTTTCTCTCTAAAAAATTCAGGTAGTTTCTCTCTAGAAGTTGATATATTTTATATCTTTAAAATTTTAAAATACTTTATTCATCTAAAATTTATAATTGAGCAACTATATCATGCTCTCTTTAAAATTTTTGATAAGGGTTCTCTCTCTAAAGTTTTTAAGTAATTTCTCTCTCCAAAATGTGATATAATCTTTGTCTAATATTTTAAGATACTTTTTCTCTCTAAAACTTAAAATTTGATTTAGTTTCTTTTTCTCGACAATTTGAGATAGTTTATCTCTTTAAATTTTTTAAGTAGTTTCTCTCTTTAAAATTTGATATAGCTTCTCTTTTTAAAATTTTAAAATAAAAAATAAATTCGGTATATGAAAAATTTTTCCTTTTAGATAGTTTTCCTTTTGAGATGGTTTTCTTTTTTTTTTTTGGAAAAGATAAAACTCGTATATGATATAGTGAAAAAGTTTATGTAAAGATGCAACCTTAGAACTACGGATGCACCTCAAAAATGTATTAGAAAATGTAGTTTAAAATTGAAAAATCCTTTGATTGATCATCTCGACATCGAGATTTATGACCATGGAAAATAAAAAAGATTTTAAGTTTAAAAAATAGTGCATGTTACAACATATTATCTACACCGTTCATTTTCAAGATTTTCATATATTTATAGATTTATTTGATTTTAACTAATTTTAAATTTTAAAATTTTATAATTAAATATAAAAATAAATTTTAAAATAATCTTAAAAATATTTTACATCAAAATTATATAACATAATAAAATTTAAAAGTGCACTTTACGACATAATAAAATTTGAAAGTGCACCTTACCTCGACACCAACGGCTGCATGCCAACTGCACCCAATAACAGAATCTTCCAAAAGAAAAGGGCAAAAACAAGGTACACGTTCTCAAACAATAAAAGGGCATGCGACAACTCACTGCTGCTGTGCCCCACCCACCCAAATTTTACGGTTCCTTCTAACAACTGTTAGAGACTCACCATCACATCTGCAAATTCATAAATTCGTGGTCCCACTTTGGGACCTCGTGTTGAATTGTTAGATTCTAAGACATTGGAGTGTTCCTGCGGATTCAGAGGTCTAAAAGGAGAAGGACTAGGTTCGTGTTGGCAGCATCCCTACAGTCACCGACACCTTTAATTAACGCTTTTAAAATGTAACTTTTTAATCTATCGAAAAAAGATGAGTTGGGATTCATTTTGCCCAGAGAATTATCCAAAAAAAACAAAAAAAACTTAATTTTTGTGAGTATTTTGGTTATTTTATTTTTTAAAACATATTTTTTTTATATATTTTTTACTAATGCAAGTTTAAAAGAGAAATGGATGTGCAAAATTTGGTGCTAAAATATCTTGTAGAAAAAAATATTTAAAATAAAATAGTGTAGGGACGTAACAATGTGATTGGGGCCATCTCAGTGATCCATTTAGAATGAATGGTTGGATATGGTAAAGTTTAAAAATTTTATGCAGTAGGGGAAGCAACAAAGCCTTGCCCTATATTATTTGTATTATCATTCTGCCATTTTTTGAGTGTTTACGGCGGTGCTAGCCGATTGTTCATATAAGGTTTACATTAAAGAAGAAAAGACCTCATAAATGCCATTTCTTCCTTATTTTACTATTTATGATGGGCCATGCTTCCTTAGAATTGGGAGTTCTTATCTAATGAAAATCCAAATAGTTTTAATGTTCTTTTATGCACTCCATTGGGTAATCAGTTAGCAAGGGCTTATCAAAAATTAAGGACCCTTAAATATGTAAAAGGTGAGGTTAGTGTTTTATAAACATGAATTTTTAATAAACATATGTTTTTAATTAAAGGGAAATTTATCAACACGCCCGTATGAGCTATTTAATATTTTACCGATATAGTTTGATTTAGTTTCAAAATACCTACCAAAAGGCACATAGCATGATTTGGAATAGTCGTAAATATATATTAAATAGTATATCACTCATAGGTAGTTTCATAAATTAACTTTTATTAAATTAACAGCAAACTACTTACAAACATGGACTTTTTACCCTAAAGTGACTCTCATCACGCTATTTGAAAGGTAGTCAAAATAAATCATTGCATTTAGTAATTAATAAAAAATCAGCAAGACAAAAATTTACTCATAGGCAAATTGTTGATTTTGAGTTGGTGCAGGAGTGCGTTTTGGGACTGCTAGCGGAGAAAACTGTTATCTACGTCACCCATCAATTGGACTTCTTGTCTTATGCAGACCTTGTTTTGGTAAGAAACACCACATAACTCAATGTTTTCGAAATTCGGAGCTTTGAACAGGTTCGCATTGTCGGGGTCTAAACACTACTGTGTTATATGATGTACACACATTCTAAAATTTCGATCATTCGATTAGTAAATAAACAAAAAAAAATTGAAACAATACAAGACAACTGTGATCGTGCGATAAAGTTTGGATATTGATAAGGATAGGCGAAATCACTGTTCATTTTCGCCTATATATATAGGTTTGCCTAGAGTTAACAACCCCTCAAAATACAAAGGTTGTAGGTTTTTCTAGAGTTAATAATATCTTAAAATACAAAGGTTAAAGTTAGAAGGGGTTGTGATGAATGTATATATAAAAAAGATAATTACTTTTTGTTTAAAAAATTATTTTAATAGGTAACTTAACTATTAAGTAAGTACAAATTTGAAATTTTTATAAAAGTACTATGGTATTTTAGAAGTTAGTGTATTGTAATTTTATTTATAGAGTGCTATTGTTTTTTAGTAAAAATTTCAACTTTACTCTTTTTGGAGACGACAAAAATACTCCTTGTCCTGTAGTAATATTTATAAAATTGCCCTTACTTAATGATGTAGATATTACAAAAAAATAATTTTTTTTAAAAAATAGATTACAAAGTTAGTAAATCCACCCTTCACAACTCTCTCTATCTTTAATCTTTGTAATTTAAAGGGTTGTGAAATTTAGATTATTCCATATATATATATATATATATATATATAATGATCCTGTGAGCCAGTGGGCTCAACAAATTAAAAAGAGACTCGTAACGGTTTAGGTTAGAATCTAGTTCGATCTGACGATCACAGATGCCCCGATAGT